GCAAGATGGCGTTGCAGATCCAGCGGGGCATGTTGACGGATATTGACTATTTGAACGGCTTCTTTATTGAGAGGGGCCGTAGGCTGGGCGTGAAGCTGCCGGCGAACGAGATGGTTGTGGGCATGGTCAAGGCAAAGCATAAGGCGCAAGTGGAGAAGAACCGGTCGTATATGCCATTAGAGCTGACCTCGAGGAGATAAATGAAGCGGTCGACGGCTGTACGACTGGACGTCTGTGTGTATTTTACTCGATGGGCGGTTTTAGCATTGTATGACTACATTCGAGCACAGAATCTAGACATTTTAAATATCTTATCACATTTATTGAAGACTGGCATAAATACTTATGTTAAAATGAAAAACAAGTTGATCTCTTGTGCTGGCCTCCATGATTAATATTTAGTACTGGACGTCGTCATGAAATTTGTAAGGCGCCCAAAAAAAGACCCCAAGCTCCCACCCCGCCAAAAACTTGGACGTCAGGCAGATCAGAAAGAGCCCCGCGTTTCTCTGACCCAAACAACCTAACCTCCACCAAACCACTCCGCGCAAACATACGCAGACTAGATACCCGCAATCATGGACGACTCCGAACTGGAACAAGTACGCAAATCATACCTTTTCTATCGACAGAGCGCTTGAACATCGGGGACTGACGCAAGCGACTACAGATCCGCAAGGCCCGCCTCGAACAGCTCAAGGCGCAAGGCGGCGCGGCAGGCAGCTCCGGCGGCGGCGGCGGCTCGAACAAGCAGCAGCAGCAAGAACAGCGCCAGTATGTTGTCCTTGCCCCTCGTCTCCCTTCTCAAGGCACCTAGATCCCCTCAATCGCGACCGACTGCCATACCATCCCGACCATACACACTCTCTCCCCTCCTTCCTCCGCCCACCACGAAGAAAGAAAGACAAAGACATCAGCTAACCCGGCGTCCACCGCAGACAACAAGAACAAGAAGCCCGCCAGCAGATCCTCAACCAGATCCTCCACCCGGAAGCGGCGGACCGCCTGGGCCGCATCCGCCTCGTCAAGGAGCAGCGCGCGCAGGACGTGGAGAACAGGCTCATTATGCTCGCGCAGAGCGGGCAGCTGCGCAGTAAAGTCACCGAGACGCAGCTCAAGGAGTTGCTCGAGGCCGTGGCGGGGACGAAGGAGGAGGAGAAGATCGTGGTGAGCAGGCGTAAGGGGTGGGACGATGACGATGATGACTTGTTGGATTTGTAGGTGCAGTCTGCAGAGTCATCAGGGTAAAGGGTGGTCCATTCTAAGCATGAGTGTTCTGTTCGCAGTGTGTAGGGGGTCTCTCGAAGATATTCGCTGCCTCGATTTTGAGTCCTCTGGCGCGGAAACTATGAACCTACGTCTGCTGGAGGGGATACCATGCCGGCGTTGAAGGGCGTTTATAATGCATTACTGCAAAATGTAGCAGATTGGCTTCTGTCCGAGTGGGATTTCCACCGAAACTCTAAGGTTACCAAAAAAAATCAAACAAAAACTACACAATATCTGTACAAACCCCGTGTCTATACACAATACACACAATACACACCCCCTTCTCAAACCCCATTCAAACCCTCTTGCGCCCTCCTCCTCTCCTCTCTCTCTTTCTTCCGAATCTCCCTCATATTAGGCGGCCTCTCAATCCCCAACTCGGCCCTCAACTCATCCACGTCCCTCTCCAGCTGCTCCTCCCAGTAGACGTTAATCACCTCCTTCGCTTTCATCCCATTCTTCACCGCCCACGGCCCATAAATCTCCCTAAACCGCTTTCTCTCCCCGACCTTCATCGTCGCGTAACTCAGGACCGCGAACCCCGTCATCGGGATCAGCGTATTCGCAAACTCGAACGCCTTGAGCGCCACCTCGCCCTCCCGCACGATAGGCAGACCCGTCAGCGCGTGGAAGAAGTCGTGACACTCGCGGTACCGCTGCATCACGTACGCGCACTCCGGGTCGTCAATGTACCGCACCGCGGGCCTCGTGTCCGGGCTCACGCCCTCGGCGTCCAGCCAGGCGACGTAGGCGCGCCCGACGCTGTTGTCCGGCATGGCGCGCAGGCGGGCGAGGTTGAGCGAGGTGGATGTGATGCGCGGCCTGTCGCGGAGGATGCGGCGGCCCGTAGGGTCGGACAGCATTGCGTCGCGGAGGCGGTAGATGAAGTAGGGCGTCGCGGTGGTCTCGCCTACGGCGGCGATGAGGTCGGCTCGGTAGGGGCTTAGGAGGGACCAGATGCCTGCGCCGAGGCCGAGGGCGGCGCGCTCGATTTTGGTGAGGGGAACGTGGCCTGGGTAGTTTGGCGGTGGGCGGTTTAGGACGGAGAAGGGGCGGCGCGAGGGGGTGGAGGAGGAAGAGGAGGGCGTTGTTGATGTGCAGGCGGCGCAGATGGCGGGGAGGGCGCGGCGGGTTTGGGCCGCGGGGAGGGTTGTGAGGGCTTTCATTTTGCTGGTTTGTTTGGTTTATGATCTTTGGGTTGGTGGCATGCTGTTGGATGTCGTCGGGAGGTTGAAGATTGTAGACGAGGGAGCTGTTGAGAGCTGTCGGGAGCTATTTGGTCAGTTCGGAGTTGAAAGTGGTTCGATGACCGGAACACTTTTTGGAAGCTCGGGGCAGCTCCATTACCTCACCTCGGCGACGGTCCCCCGAGAATTTGGACAGCTAGGGGTCCGTAGGTCGGATCGGGGAGTCGGTGGATACTAGCGCCGACCTTTCCAATTGGCAATTGCTGCCCGCTGCTGTACATTTGTTCGGCAGCGATTTAGGTGAGCATTTTGGTGGTGGGACAGGGCCTGCTGTTCCAGATCGTTGGAATCGCACCCCGGCGCATTTGATTCGTCCCTTCAGCTTTAAGGTGAAATTCATGTAAGCTTCGTCCGTCCCATCAAACTTTACGCTTTCACAGCAACAAGACTCTGCTGCCAACCTTCTATCGTCTTATTCTGAGGTATCTAGGTTTGAGCGCAACTCCGAATTCTCCCAGAAGCAGAGATACTCGAAATCCGGGCCTTCAGGACTTGCATATCTCAGTCTCATTCAAACCTGTCGATGTTTCACGAATGAGAGAATCGCTCACCCTGCCGGTATAAGACTAAAGGACTACACCTCATGAGGTAATTGCTCCTTGATCAACCTTGACCTTTTCTCACAGAGACTGCATTTGACTACGAAGTTGTCAAGTCGTACTTGAATTAGCTTTCATCACTTTTCTAAAATACCCCTACCTTTGCCTCAGCCTCCACCATCTTATCCAATCTCGAGTTCTGAACAAAACACCAAATGGACGCCATCGAGAACCTCCTATGCTGGGCCCAAACCCAAGGAATCACAGTATCGAACGTCGGTCCCCGTGCCCTCCCAGGGAGAGGCATAGGAATCGTCGTGACATCACCTCTCAAAGTAAGCCACACATGTCACAACCATCATACACTCTCATCTCACTAACACCACCACCACCACCCCAGAAAGACGACACAATCCTAGACGTCCAAATCCCCTGCCTAAAAACAATCGCAACAATCCCAAAACCCCTAAACCGCCCCTTCCCAAAAGAAACACACGTCCACGCCCTCCTGGCCCTAGACATCGCCCTCGACGCATCCCCCTCCTTCAAAACCTGGTCCGCCGTCTTCCCAACACCAAAAGACCTCTCCTCCTGCCCGCTAACCTGGTCCTCCTCCTCGCCAACCCTCGCCTCCCTCCTCCCCTCCCAAGCCCTCACCCTCCTCAAAGCCCAGCGCGAGAAATTCGATTCGCACTGGTCCCTCGTCTCCTCCACCCCTCTCCCAAATCCGCTGCCTCAGGATGAGGAACACCAGTACCAGTACCCAGAAGGCAGCGACGGCAAACTCACATACGAATCCTACCTCCACGCCTGGCTCCTCGTAAACTCGCGCACATTCTACCACGTCACGCCCAAAACCGCAAAACGCCACCGCGACGACCACATGGTCCTCCAACCCGTCGCCGACCTCCTCAACCACGCCTCCCGCGGCTGCTCCGTCGCCTTTGACAAGCACTCCTTCACCATCAAGGCCGACCGCGCCTACGTCCCCGGCGAGGAGATCCACATCTGCTACGGCCGCCACAGCAACGATTTCCTCCTCGTCGAGTACGGCTTCATCATGGCCCAGGGCGAAAACGAGTGGGATGAGGTCTGTATCGACGATGTGCTGCTGCCGCGCCTGGGCGCCGCGCACAGGCGGCGGTTGGAGGAGAGGGGGTTTCTCGGGAACTATGTCATTGACGCGGAGACGGTGTGTTACCGTACGCAGGTGGCGCTGCGGACGCTCGTGTTGCCGGCGAGACGGTGGGCGCAGTTCGTGGATGGGTTTGCGGACGGAGAGGCGGAGCAGCCCGAGGTCGATGCGTTACTGCGAGACATGTTGTCGGCGTACGACGAGGAGATTGAGTCCAAGATTAAGACAGTGCGTGGCCTGGATGAAGGTCAGCAGTCTCAGCGGGACATGGTAGTGGCTCGCTGGAAGCAGATACAGCTGCTCGTACGCGGCACGATAGAAAAGTTGAACGTCTCCAATACACAATAATCTACCGGTTTCTGCAAAGGAAAGAGCAACGAGGCGTGAAATGACGAAACGCAGTCGTAGATTGTGCTTTTCAGGTCTGAACTGTAACGCCGTAACCGAGGTGCTAGGGATCGTTCCCATGCAGCCATATTCTAATAGTACACATACAATAACTCAAAGCAAACATCTTGCATTTTGGTGGTTGCTATCATCCATCCGTAGCAACCATGAGCTTCGTGACGTCGCAGCCAATATACCCGTCACTCATCTGAAGAATAGAGGCCTTGATCAACTGATTCTCTCTGTTAAGCGCGAAGAGATTTCGTCGATGAGAGAGTCCTCGTCGAAGGAATGAACCCACACTGTGATGCGGTGAGGAGGTTGTGACCGAAAGCTCTACGACGCGGTGACAACTGGATCGCGCTGCGATAAGCCGATCCGGCCATTACCTCAAGATCGCGCAAACTGCCTTGGCCGGTAGTCCTACTCGGGTCGAGGTCGCTTAGCACCGTGAGGGTTGCCCCAGTCGTTACCACCACCCTGGTTACCGCCGAAGAATGCAGGGTTGAATTGTTGAGGCATGCCTTGGAATCCTGGGAACGAGTCAGCTTGAGTGTTCTCTGACGAAGAACAAACGAGAACGCAAACAGCAGAGAAATCAGTCAAGAACATTCAGCGAGGAGCCTAGTGGTGAGGCGGCATCCTCGAGCCGAACCGAGTAGCTGCAGGGGGTTGAGGGGCAACGATGTTAAACTGCAAACCGTGCTCCTTTGTCCATCGGCCGACCTCTGGTGCAATTACAGGCTTTGGTTGTTCGGATACATGTTTCGGTTGCACCTTCTGCCGTTTGGTGCTCGAAGGGATCTCGTCTCGGCCGGTGTTGGCAGCTTTGCCCTTTCGCCGACCAGAGTTCTTGCGCTTCTGGGTTGAACCATAGGCAAGTCGAGATATTGGGGGGGGTGTAATTTCGCTGGGGAGATTCAAAAGCAAGGGGAGTCGTACCAGGCATTCCGCCGCCCATCATGCCCATGTTAGGCATACCCATGTTGGGCATGCCTCCCATCGGGCCCATGTTCATACCGCCCATCGGGTTGTGCATACCGCCTCGTCCACCACGCATGCCGGGGCCGCCGCGCATACCACCACCGAAGCCGCCGCCCCGCTGGAAACCGCCGCCGCCGAAATTTCCACCGCCCATGCCGTTGTTGAAGCCGCCGCCTCCCATGTTGTTATTGTTGAATCCACCTCCCATACCGCCCGAGAAGTTGCGGTTGAACCCGCCCTGGTTCATGCCACCACGAGGACCATTGAAGCCTCCACGACCACGGTAGCCGTTTCCACGGAAATCGCCGCCACCCATCGAGGAACCCTGGTTGTTGTAGTTGTTGTTGTTTGGTCGGCTGCCCTGGTCTTTACCAGCGCGGTTCGGTGCATCCTTAGGCAGCGTGCGGAACGGGTTGACGTGAGGGTTCGAGTAAGTGACCTGGTATTTCTTCGGTACGCCTTGAGCGCTTTCTGTCGACTCAAAAGCGTGCTTGGCGGCCGTGGCAGCTTGCTGCGATGTGAACTCAATGTAGGCTTGTCTGCGGGCGGAGTCAGCAATAGTACATGCAAATCTACCTCACACCACGAATCGTACCCCTTGCTCTTTCCGTTCACCTTGTGTTCACTGAAAGTGATATCCTTCAGCTCGTCCTCGCAATGGCCTGCTCTGGCGTATCCTCTGATGTCGTCGTCCGTGTTCCACCAGTTTAGATCCGAAACCATCAAAGCTGTGGTTGCGCCTGGATCGATCGGCCGGTCGTCGCCCTTTCTCTTGACACCCTGCTGGGGCGCAGGCGCCTCTTGCTGATCGTGATATTCTTCCTGCTGGTCGTGCTTCTGCTGATCGTCGTGGTGCTCCAGCTGGTCATGCTGTTCCTGGTGGTTGTCCGCATGACCGTTGGCTCCGTCGTAGTTCTCGGCGTTTCCGTCTTGGTGATCTTGGGGCGCATCGCCGTAGATATCGATCTCGAATTCCTCCTCAGCCATGGTGACGTTATTATCTGGTAGCCGTGAGTTGGGGCAGTGAGCTTGGTTGTAGTTGGAAAAGGGTTGTTATTAGTCTGCGAGATACAGGATATGTCTGCAGTCTTGAACATGATCATCAGCCGCTGCCAATACAGGGTCATTGCCAAAGTCTGGAGCCAAAAGACAAACTCGAACGTAGGATAGAAAACAGAGAACATCTGATACGTACACTCCTCGTTCCGTAGACAGGATGGAAGAGGTTGGATGGAAATTGCCAAGCCAATATAATCCTCTCCTTTAGCCAAATAAAAATGAAGACGAAGCTCTGTGCTCCGGTCTTCCCCAATGGCGACGTGACCGTAGTTCTTTCCTTGTTCGGCCCAGAAGCCTTAGGTACAGGGAACAAGATGATGTAGTTGGGATGAGCGAGAATGGAAACAGGATCCCAAGATTCCAGAGACGGTTTGCTCGTTCTGCCACCGCCTTTGGCCGACGCTCCAACCGCGTTCCTGCCCGCTCACTATGTGGGCGATGCTGTTAGCCGTGATGAGTTAGTGGTCAAAGAAGCCCAATGAAGGTTTCCGGCGGGTTCGCGAGTAAGCTGCGGCTGCGCGTCGCTTCGCTGAGTATGTGGCGTTTATCGCGATGCCCGAAAGACCGACGCGTAGGATAGCTTGGGTAGAGCTGTGATATTGTCGTGCAGCTCAGGTATGGACGTCTCGGTTTGATGTTGACGCGAAGACAGAGATGCAGTCGACGAAGGTGAGTGGAGGAACGTTTGGGAAGGGAAAGAAAACTGGGGGGAGCTCTTTCAGGAGCTGAGGTCGCATCTTGAGCCAGGCGGGAACCGACAAGGGCCATGGCCGCCAGGCTGCGGCAGGCACAGACTCCGCTAGTGGATGCCCGTATGGGGCTCGCGACTGCCCGCTGAGCCGATACGTACCTTACCTCCTCTCCCTGTCATGTGCCTGCATGCGCTGAACTGTGGCTGGTCAAAATGGCCCAGACCAGACCCTCTGTGCCCACCAGCGGGGGAATCCAGGGGGTCTTCCTCCACTGAAGGGGAGCACCAAGGGGACTCCTATCATCCTAACCTTAGATAAGCAATCTGTCAGTGGCGTGCGCCTCGGCGGCCGGCGCATAATTCCTCCATGCCTCCTTAATGGCAATCTGGCTCTTCCTTCCACAGCGGGAGCTTGTCCCGAAATTTTGGGGACCAGTTGGTGACAGCGCGCTCAATTTAACACATCTCCCTTCTACCCATTCGAACCTCTCGAATCTTCCACCTCCCCGACTTACAACGCCTTAACTACACCTCGTCGCGCCTTTCCTTCATCGACTTTGCAGTTTCCTGTTACCCTGCGGCCCATTGGGATTTCCTTTGCGACTTTCATCAAGTTACCCACCCCCTTCTCTTCTCCGCATCCCACGCGCGCTTCTATCCACAATGGCCGACCAAGTCAAGGAGATCCTCGAGGTTCCCTCCGAGTTCGCTCAGGAAGGTGTTCAGTTCATGAGAAGGTGCACCAAGCGTACGTTGCGCCCTCGTGCTGCATTGCCCGTTCGTTATTCGAATACTAACGCGTCCTTTAGCCGACAAGCTCGAGTTCCTGAAGCTCTGCCAGGCCGTCGGTGTCGGTTTCCTCATCATGGGTGCTGTCGGCTACATCGTCAAGCTGATTCACATCCCCCTTAACAACATCCTTGTCGGAGGCGCATAAACGCCATGTATTTACCTTCAATGGAAGCACCGATATATCGGGCCAGCTTCTCGAACACGTTCACGTCGACACGTGACAACCAAACATGATTTCAAACGCAGGGATGGGTCTCAAAAGCATTGCACGGGCAGATTGCAGAAGCGGCGCAGCAACACTTGGAAGAGGTTCTGTGCGGGAGTGATGAGAGATACCCCGAGACCAAAGAGGCTTCATCGATCATGTATCATTGCCAAAAGAGGGGTGGGACATGTGTGGAAGATGTACAAAATAATTAAAATAATCATCCCACAGCGCTTTCCCAAAAGTGAACCGGTTCCTGACGAGAAGTAACTAGCTTTGGAATGATTCGCCAACGGGGCGCAGCTTCTCGTCGACATTGCGACCCATTGGCGGCTCTGCCTCGTCATCTTCGGCTTCGTTGTACGAATGCAGCGTGCAGGTCCCATGAGCCATGTTGAATCCGTTCCATGCAGACGCTGAAAGACGTTAGCTACAGCCCGAAACTCGCATAATATGAAGGACTTACCAGCGAGGACTGGCGCATTGGGATGCCAGCTCACGTCACGCACACACGTGTTCCAACCGGGGAAGTCGTCGCCGTGATATATACGGTATCTGCGCTCCAGTGGCCGCGAGTTCTTGGTGGCCTTCCTCACGTCGATGGTACCAGCGAGCGTGGCGTCCATGTTCCAAATGTAAACCTTGCCATCCTGACTACCAGAGTAGACGTAACGCGAATTGGTACTTGATGGCGGTGAAAAGTGGCATCGAATCAGCGTGCGCATTACACGATGTCCTCTGAACGTCACCAACGAGTTATCGTTGGGGTGCGGGAACCAGTCTTCGTCCCTATATGTTCCCCACCGGTAATCAAAGTCGCTGTTGCTGGTTAACCTAGTGGGGTTGACCTCGTCGTACTTGGCCGTGGACATGACCATTCTCAAGTCCCAAAGCTTCATCGTCTGGTCCTTGCCGTTACTCAGAATGTATCGACCGTCGCCTTTACTGTCAATGTACGTGAGACCTTCGACGTGGCCCACGAAAGCGCCAGCTGGCCGGCCGTCTCCCATGCTACGTCGATCCCAGACTTTGATGGTGGCATCGTCTGATCCAGAGTAGAGAATGTGCGGAGAAGACTTGTCTGCAAAGCACACAGCGTTCACGTCGTCTTCGTGGCCGACGACATTGTGTAATACAGTGCGCGATTCAATATCATAGACGACGATCGACTGCATGTTGGTGCCGGCCACGAGCTCACGACCATCTCCCGAAAATCTGACAGACCAAATACCAAAGGAATGTCTCGATCGCCATCCTGCGTGTCGAGTTCCCGCACTCCTCTCTGCCAGATCCAATGTGTATGGGTCTCCCGTGTCGTTGGGATCCGTAGGTGCCAGACAAACGTTGCTTTGGATTGATGTATAAGCGAGCCAGCGGTTGTCAGGACTTAAGGATGCGTCGGTCAATGTCCACTGTCCCCAGGGGTAATTGACCGTCTTGTAATATTTCCAATTGTACGGATTCGAGGTGTCGTACATGCGGACCTTGAAGTCGTGACCGCAGGCGTAAAAGAAATTACCGTCGTCGGAGAACTGGCCGGAATACACTGGGTCGTCGTAGTGCACAATCATTTCGGGGTTCGTCGAGGGTATCATGCCCTGGGCCATGAGATCTTGGTTCTGCTTCCGGTCGCGCCTATCCCCCAGACCAAGCTCACGGTCTAATATCCTGCGTGCCAATTGCTTCTTCTTCGTGACTCGGTAATCGTTTGCGCCGAAAACGCCAGAGTGCATCAACTTCGTGCCCTCTTCGCTCGGTACTTTAGGGAACCGATTCGGCTCCCGTGCGCGAGGCCGTCTGCGTCTTCTTCCCCAGCCAATATCTTCGTCATCGTCTTCTTCGTCGTGAGTGGTGCGTAATGTCACTTCGCCACTTTGAATGAGGCCTAGCAGCTGTGCTCGTGTAAGAAACCCTGTTCCGTTGCCCGCAGCACCGGCTGTATCGTAGATTAGCGAGGTTGGCACACGGTTTTACTCGAGCCTGAGTTTTGACTCACTGATGAGAGTCATGAGTCTCGATATTGGATTAGCGGCCATGCCGTCTTCCTCAGCATCATCGTCGTCCTCGTCGCCAGCACCCATGAACACTTCCACCTCTACGTTGCTGTCCTCGCCGTCCTCAGCATCTGCGCATGGTAAGTTTCTATATGGTTCAACGTGAAAAAGAGGTATTGCTACCGTGATACTCATCATCATCGTCTCCGTCTTCTTCCTCTGGCTCGTCTTGAAAGTCGGGGTCGTACTCATCGTCGTCGTCCATACCTTCGGCATCTTCCGGATCATAGGTATAAGTCCAGGCAGGCTCATCATCCTCTTCAATTAAATTCATGCTTGCTGATGGCGACCGAATGCTGTCTCCAGAGTCTTCCATTTTGGCTTTGGGTTCACACGGAAGTTCGGATTGATGCTTAGTGATACAACGGAGCTCGGATTTGAGACGGCCGACGTGTGATGGAGAGTCCTATGCAAGAATGTCCGTGACAATCGTTTAGATGCCGAGCTATATGTACGTGGTGCGTTCTAAGGCTGACGTGCAGGAGAGCAAGACGATTAAAGTGATCAGGAAAGACAATAGGACGCAACGCTCAGATTATGTTTCATGAAGAAGTGGTCGTTCGTGACGACATTCATTCAGTCCCCGGGGGAGGTGGGGTGTCCTGGACCAAACGGCGGAGATAAGATAGCACAGCTGCTGTAAGCTCCGGCAAGTCAGTGGCGCCAGCTGTTGAAGCTCTCCTCGGGCACTTTAGAGATACGTACCTTTTTCGGGTCGAGCCAAGCATCTTCTTGGAATTCTGTCAGCAAATCTGGGGTCGCCTGGATGCAACCTGGTCAAATGCGAGTCAAACGTAACGCAGCACACCTTTGAGTGTCGTGTGTTTTCGAGTACACCAACTGGTTCACGAAATGATGGCAAAGGGTTCAGCGACGACGTTCCTATCTATTAATTTAGCTGTTATACATATGTACGGCGGCATTGAAAGTTTGTTTTACACCCTACGCATGCATGAACAGTCGATTGTCTGCAGTTCAACTGTTTAATACGCCTATATGTCTTAAGCCGTTATCCGACATTTCAACTGTCCTCTATGTAAATATCCCCCTCAGAGCCTCTCTGGCGGAAACATTCTAGGGGTTCCATGATCCCCAATGTCGCCCCCTGTGGGGCGCCTCAAGGGATTCGGAACATGGGGGGCCGCGACGGGCGGCGGCGCGTCCAGTTCTTCCCACCTCACGTCCC